GTGCGAGGGTCAAAATGAGTACACGTATAAAGAATGACTAAATCCTATGTTAGATGGAATGTATTAGAATAAAACAATCAATGAAATCCCTAAGGGCTCGATAGGGAGCGTGCCTAGGATGCACGTTGTGCAAGAGCTTGGACCTGTTACCTTGTTTTTCCCTTCACTTTGGGACCTCCTGTGCTCAGGGGCCAGGGAATGTACCCTCTGCTGGTTTGCTGGGAGGGCACTGGTTAGCCTGTCATTCTGACCTTGCAAGCCTTACCCAGAATGCTTTGAAACCAGGGTTTGCCAGTGGTCAGCTAGAACGCTGTCCTGGAAGGGTGCTCCCCCGGGGATGAAGAAGGCGACGTTAAGAACCATATCCTTCCATTTTGGGGGAAACAAAATCATAGTACCTGTTACTTTTAAGGGTAGAAACCTGCACCGATACGGTAGCCACTGGCCACATGTGGCTGTGGAACCCTGGAAGTCTGGCTAAATCTGAATTGAGAGGTGCTGTCATTATAAAAATAAACACCAGATTTTGAAGACTCAATGCAAATCAAATAACGCAAAATATTGAATTAATTTTTTTATACTCACTACATGTTGAAATGATAATGTTTTGGATAGAGTGGGTTAGAAAAAATATATTAAAATTAATTGCACCTGTTGCTCTTTTCAAAATGTGGCTGCTGGAAAGCTTAAAATTATGTAAGTGGCTTGCATGATGTTTCTATTGGACAATGCTGCTGTACCACTAAAATTGGAATTATTCTAACTTCACACTAATAAGCAGTAGCATTTATAGGGCACTCGGACCATGCCAGGCTCTTTACGTATTCAATCTAATTTCAAATTATGAGTTTTGAAGAGAAGAACCAAAACCTAAACAGAAATTGATATACTTCATTTTCCGCTGTGTTTCCGTGCTTCTGTGCTGGTTTTTTGTGGGTCATCCAGTTTCTTTATGCAGTGTATTTATTACCTTGTTTCATTTTCCCATCAATATTATGAAATATTGTGGCCATCCTCAGTTAATATGTAAGGAAACAGAGACTCAGGGGTCTGAAGAACTAGCCCTTTGGCTAATGGTCCTTTGACTAATACATGGCCAGACTAGAGCTTGATTCCAGGGCCATCTGGAAACAGCACTTCTATGAGCCCAACAGATATTTTGGTAATGAGGCAAGGATAATGCCACGGAGTTCCTCTGTGACCCTGGGAAGGGCTCCTTATCATTCTGTGCTACACTTTCCTCCCAGAGGGGTTGGACTCTAGATGCTCCTGGAAGTCCCTGGAAGTCCCTTCTGGCCCTTTACCTGTAGAGAGCCCATCTCGCTGTTCCTAATTTGGTTCTTTTGTCTCTCTTGGTGCTTCTACTGTGCCCATCTGGTAAATGACCAGAGGATCCAGAGAGTGGAATGAATTGTGGGAAAACAGGATGGAGGAATATGGAGCAGAGGAGGAAGACAGAGTTGGAGGAGGAGGAAGTTCACAGTGGATGGAGAGTTCCGTGGGGGGTCAGTACTGTTGCAGAAGGGGTGAACCCCACATGGGATGTTCATATATAGCAGAGCCCAGAACCACGACGCAGACCTGCCTCAGTCTCAGTAAAGGACTGTCTTTTATCTTGAAATATGAAGTCTATGGAGAGAGTTTGGGGTGCAGTGGAAAATGCACAAAGGTTTGGGAAAGGACTTTTTGAGGAAGAACCAAAGAGAGACAAAACAATGTCTGTACAAGCTAGAGAGTATGTGAACGGGTTGGCGGGGCAGATTGGGGTCAAGGCTGGGCTTTGCCTCCAAACAACTGTGTGATATTAAACAAATTCCGTACCTCCCTAAGCTTCGGCATCCTCATCTGTGAAATGGGATAGTAACTGTGCTCGCCTCTTGGGGCACGGTGGGGATTAAGCAACACACAGCTAGGGACAGCTACCGCATATTCGTGTGTGCACAGCCGTCCTCGTGGACACAAGCATATCAGTGCTCGCTGGGGCTCAGCCTGGGCCTGCAAACTGCAGATAAGGTTGCATCAAGTGGGGCTCCCATCCTGATCTTAACGGCATCTAGGAACGGCTGCGTTCTTGTTCTGCTGTGTGGCTTTCTGTGAATTACGGAATTTCTCTGAGCCTCGGATCCCTCATTTATAAAATGAGGTGATTAAAGCAGATGATCTATAAGGCTTTTTTTCAGCTCTCAAATGCTGTGCGATTCTGGAAATAGGATTTATTTAGTGTTGAGAGGCTATGGGGAATACGAAGATACGAACTTCAAATATATGTATATATGATTACCATAAGTTAAGAGGACGGTGACCAACTGTTCTCTTCTGTCTGAGGGCAGGACATGAGGCAACATGCTTTAATTGTTTTATGAGAGATGTTTGGAAGCCTTTTTTTTTTTTTTTTTTTGACTTGGGAGAAAGAGTGGTATGTCATCAGAGCAGGCTCTGGGGTCGCACGCTCTGAACTCGTTAAGGCAGACAGTGCACTATTTTCCCGACACTCAACTTCAGTGTAACGGATTTCAGTTACTGACTTCAGACCCATCACCTGGGTCTTCCCTGACCCCCTGATCTAGAGCAAGCTCCCCATTGTATTCTCCCTTCACATCGCACTCTGTTGTTTTCCTCTGCCGCCCGTAGGACAATTTGTCATTCCATATTAATTTTGTACGCAGTGTTTAATATCTGTCTCTTTGGACTGTAAACCCCTAAAGGCCAGGACTGTCTTTATCTGGTACATCTCCTGGGTGCCCAGGGGAAGCACCGCAGTTCTTTGTGGAATGAATATGTGTGTGGATGAGTTCCAGGGCTGGTTGATTTGGTGGTAGTTTTTCTTTTCTTTTCTTTTTTAAAAAATTTTATTTATTTGACAGACAGAGATCACAAGTAGGCAGAGAGGCAGGTAGAGAGAGAGGAAGGGAAGCCGGTTCCCTGCTAAGCAGAGAGCCTGATGTGGGGCTCGTTCCCAGGACCCTGAGACAATGACTTGAGCCAAAGGCAGAGGCTTAACCCACTGAGCCACCCAGGCGCCCCTGGTGGTAGTAGTTCTTGATGGAGGTGGATGGAGGGGGATCCTGGGTTTGCCGAAGACCTTGTTGTCTCTCGAGGGACTTTAGATACTGTTTCTTCTTCCTATTGGCTTCTTCTGGGGGCTGGTCTCTTGTAGGTATGGACTTCTTCAGTTTTAATGAGATGTCCTAGTGTCCCTTTCTTGTGGACTGGCCAGCCTGCCTCTGGTTCTGGAGAGATGGAAGGGGTAGGTAGAGTTGCATTTGAGTTGCAATGAAGCCCAGCAGAGCAGGGTTTGATTTTGCTGGTTATTTCCATTTCTGCCCTGTCCCTCTGTCCCCCACCCCACCCACTCTTCATCCTGGGGCCCTGATCTGGGCCCTAGGAAGCTGACCTTGGTGTGCTGTGTCAATGAGGCTGCCTTGCCCCCTGGTGTCTAGCTGAGGTTGGCCAATCAGAAGGCAGAGCAGGAAGACAAGGTTGAAAAGAAAGAACTTGGGCCATGTGCCTCTTTACCTTGGTTCTCTCTTTCATGAGCTCACTGAGGCTGCAAGCCACAGATCCCTCCGGGTTCTTGCAAATGCTCTCCCTCTGTCCCTTCTGTCTCCCTCTGTCTAGGAAGAGCGGTGGTAATGGCGCCCCATTGCCAACTCCCGGGGGTGCTTCACCTTTCCGTGTAGTTCCCTCACTCCTGTGCACAACACTGTGAATAGTCCTACACTCCACTCTCAACTCCCCCATGCGCATGGGCCATTCCCCTCCCCGGGCTGCTTTCTAGGGCACCAATCCCTCATATTCTTGTCTTTATCTTACCTGATAACAGGACAGGGGCCACGCATCTAATTGCCAAGGGGGTATGAGGTACAGGATCAGAGAAGAGATCAGAGGAATGTTTCTTAGCAAATCAAAACAGGATCCCCTGTACCTGAGGCTTCTGCTTTTAGTTTAACAAAAGCAAAAATAATATCCCTGCGGCGCCTGGGTGGCTCAGTCCTTAAGCATCTGCCTTCGGCTCAGGTCATGATCCCTGGGTCCTGGGATCGAGCCCCACATCTGGGTCCCTGCTCTGCGGGAAGCCTGCTTCTCCCTCTCTCACTCCTCCTGCTTGTGCTCCCTCTCTTGCTGTGTCTCTCTCTGTCAAATAAATAAATAAAATCTTAAAAAAAAAATCTCCTTTTGGGTTAAGAGCTTGGGGGGTATCTTGAGAAAGGAGTTCAGCTTCTTTCTCTGGTCTCTTTCAGACAGGGATGACTCTGGCTGCCAGGACTCAGCTGGCCCCATGACCTCAAGCCCCAGGTAGCCGACCAGACTCTGACCTTTCCAGAAAAGGTGCCCTGCTGTGCAGGCGCTGCAGCTCCCAGCCACAGAGCTGGGGTCTGCTAGACATCTGTGCTCCCTAATCCCTTCCCTTGGCTTTGGTGGTCTTTGTATCCCTCGAGGGGAACAGCCTCTCTGAGGTCGAAATAGTTTTTCATGGAGCAACCTGGAGCCGGGCACCCAGCATGGCTGAGGGGAGGTCATGGAGTTGCCAGACGAGATCTGGGGTAGAGGGAGAGAACACTAAGATTTGAGGCTAATGTTGGTGTATTGCTGTAGAATTTTCAAAATACTTTCATGTAAGGGGCATGTTTATGCCCCACAAAATGGCCCTGTGGGGGTACTGGCCATCATTGTCCTCACTTTGTGGATGCAGAAAAGGGCTCCGGGATTGTTGAGTGGCCTACTCACAGTCACTGTCTGTCTGGTGCCTTTCGCTCTCCTCTGCTCTGAGGCTACAGACAGGGTTGCCATTTGTCTCTGGGGCTGGAAACAGGAGATGGGAAAGCCAGACCCAGCTCCGGGGCTCCTGTTCCACCCAGAGGTGAGGGCACAGGCTGCCTCTAGCCCTACCCAGAGCGCCAGGTCCTGCATGCTCTCCGGGGCCACCCCTGTCCCTCCTGGTCCTTCTGCCCCCCTGCTTCTAATGGCCTGACCCCTGCTTCTCTGTCCTTACTTTGCAGAAGTGGAGCTGCCCCTGAAGAAGGATGGCTTCACCTCGGAAAGCACCACCCTGGAAGCCTTGCTGCGGGGTGAGGGTGTGGAGAAGAAGGTGGATGCCAGAGAGGAGGAAAGCATGCAGGAAATACAGGTATTTGGGGGGTGTGTCCAGAGCGCGGGTGCAGGGCTTCCTGGGGCCCGGGCCGGAGGCGGCTCCTGCTCCCAGGCCGCCTGGTGCATGGCTGCAGGCAGACTCACCCTGCCTTCCTCCCGTAACCCGGCCTCCAGAACAAGCCCTCACCCCTCTCTTGGTGTCCCCATGTGGCCGTTCAGAATATATCTTTCCAGCCTGCTGTATGCCAGGGGCTGGGCTAGGTCCCGGGGACACGAAAGTGAGCAAAACAGACAGGAGTCCTCACCCCGTGGAGCGGGCAGTCCAGAGTTCAGGCTTGAAACCTCGGGGTTGTCTACACCAGCTTGTCCCCCAGGACCCCCCGCCTTCCTCACACCCCATCATCACACCCTGTCCTCAGCTCTAGTTCTCAGCACCGCCCTCTTCTCCTTCAAGGCCAGTGTAGGCATCACCCTCCAGGCGGGGCTGGTGGATCCTGTCCCTGCTGGTTTCCCGCCCACTCTTCCCAGTCCTGTGGAGGCTCTCACTACCCAAGATCGCCGTGGTGCACTCTGACCAGTTCTCATTCCTTCATCTTCAGTCTCTGTTGTCGAATTCGATGGTTGGCATGGAGTATTGTAGTAATATTAATTAATATAAATATTAAACAATAGTATTAATAATTAAATACAATTCAATTATTAAAATAAAATTACATTGATATTAAATGTATATTTTATGATACTTTATATTTTGTGTGATACTTACCGCATATTACATATTTATTAATTGCATATCCAACGTAATGTTTAGTATTTGCATATTCATTTACTGACGTTACAATTAAAGTAATAGCAGTTACACGTCTGGTTTGCCTCTTGAGTGCCACCAGTCAGTGAGTTCCAAGGACTCGGGGACCATGTGGTCGTGCTCACTGTTGTCCCCTTGGGGCCTTGCCCTCTCCCACAGAGCTGAGTCTCAACAAAGATGCAAGGTGAAGCCGAGAACTGGCCTCCTCCCCTGCCATCCCTGTGTGCAGATGGGCCGTCCGGTCCTGTTCCTGTCACAACACGGCCTCTGTGGGTTGCCTCTGCTCCTCGGAGCTATGGCTCTCCTGAAGGTCCTTAATCGCTATGACCTCCATGTGCCTAATGCACCTTGGAGTCATCTGCCGCCCCCGTCTTTCCGTCGCACCCAGCGTCTGGTGCATCGGAATCCAGTCCGCTGTGCCTGCAACCAGAGCACAGGCTCCTCTCACCGTGTGCCCCCATGACTGCCCCAGTTCCTGGTCGCTGTCATCTGTCTGAACAGCTGCAACAACTTTCTAAGTGGTGCCCCTGCTGATGGCTGAGAGGGAGCCCTTTAAACCGAAGTGGGATCCTGTTTTTCCTGTGCGCCAAACCAGACACAGGCTCCTGTTCTCCCCGAATAAAAGTCAAGTCCCTCTTACCTCTCCAACTCGGTTTCTGGGCCTTTCCCTTGCTCATTTCTGTTGCCGGCACACTGACCTCATTTTGTTCCTTCTAGAACACACCAGACACTGTTGCCTCAGGGTTTTGCTCAGCCTGTCTCCTCTGCCTGCAGGTTCCTCAGCCCAGGCATCAGCTGGGGCCTCACCCTCACCTTCTTCAATCTGTGTCTCTTCCTCTCTGTGAAGCTGACCCTGACCCTGTGGGTACTACCGCATTCTGTGCCCTCCCCGCCCTCCAGATCTCCCGATCCCCTAACTCTGCTTTTCTTTGCTTTTTCTTTTTCCCCATAGCTTTGATCACTATCTACCATACTTTGTAATTTGCTGATTTGTAATGTTACTGGGTATTTTCTGTTTTCTTCCAATGGCATGTAAACTCAAGGGTGGGATGATTGTCTTGTTCACTGATATACCTGAAGCAGACAAACAGTGCCTAGCGCTTAGTAGGTGCACAGTAAGTATCTGTTGGGGGGATGTACAAGTGAATAGATTCCTGAGAGTCGCCCCAGGGGGCAATCTGTCCCTTCTCTGACATGTCCTACTTTGCTAGCTGATCTTTCATCCTGAAAGAAAGCTTTGCTTGTGCCCATCCCTTGTTTAAAAAACTTAGCTGAAACGCTTGTATCTTACTGGGTAAATCCAAAATGGTGAGTGTGATCTTCTTGGGCCTCCTCTCTCTGCTCTTAAGCTAGTTTTCAGGCTTATTTTCTTCCACTTCTGTGCTCCCCTGTTCTGCAGTCTTCCTTCTCTCCTTTGTTCCTGTGGTCATGTCGTGTCCTTTACTTGGGGAATCTTTTCTTCTACTCTATATGTATAAATACACCCAACGGTCAGGCTCAGCCCCAATGCCACCTTTCTTGATGGTCCCACAGCCAGAGGGATTCTTCTTGTCACTGGCATTTACGGTGACTCATTTTCTTCTTTGTTTTCCCTATTCACATTTCTCCCACCTTTCCCCAGTTTTTGGACTTTTCAGGTCTTTGAAGTTAAGGCATATCACATCTGTGTTGTGTAGTTAGTATAATTTCACTGAATCAGTGGATGGGACAGAACCATTGCCCAGACACCCTGACACTCTAGTGACAGAGAGCCTCTTATGCTTTCAAGCTGGTGGGCTCAAGGTACTCTCAGGCAGTGTTGGGCTAATCTATGGGCCATAGCTATGGAATCATCACCATTGCCATCCTCCCTGATGTGAATAGATGAGGAGAGCATGGGCAGAGCATGGGTCTACCATCTACCATGCTAGAAGTGGAAATCAGGACCATAAGCCAAATGAGTTTATGTGTTCTTATCAACTTTGGTTATAAAAATAAAGTACGTATGTAGTAAATGGATTATATTTGTTCATTTTTCATTCATTCATTCAACCAAAGTTTATTGAGTGTCTCCACTGAGCAGGTACTGTGCTAGGTTCTGGGGGGGACAGAGAAACCAAGAGAGAGCAGTCCCTACTGTTCATATTTATATTCTAGTAATGACAGACAGACAGAAGACAAGTACACAAAGGAAATAATTGCATTTCACGATAAATGACCATGAGAAGAACAGAGTGTGAAGATTCAGTATAAGAGGAGGGACAGATTCTAGGTAGTGTCCTAAGTGAGATAAGGGATTTAACCTCATCCTAAGGGATGAGAAGGAGCGGGCAAAGCAAGAATATGGGGAGGAGATTTCTGGGCAGAGGAACAGTATGCTTGAAGGCCTTGAGATAGGTCTGAGCTTATAGTTTTGAAAGAACAGACAGAAGATGCAGAACTCATACAACTCAATAACAAAAACCCAAACAATTCAATCACAAAATGGGCAGAGGACCTGAACAGACATTTTTTTTCCAAAGAAGACATGCAGATGGCCAACAGGCACATGAAAAGATGCTCAACATCACTCATCATCAAGGAGAAGCAAATGAAACCATAGTGAAATCAGCCCACACCTGTCAGGATGGCTATTATCAAAAGACAAAAAACAACAAGTGTTGGTGAGCATGTGGAGGAAAGGAAACCCTGATGCACTGGTGGTAGGAATGTAAATTGGTGTAGCAACTATGGAAAAATATGGAAAAGTATGATGGTATAGAACCACCAAATGACCCACAATTCCACTTCTAGGTATGTATCTGAAGAAAATGGAAACACTATTTCAAAAAGATGCATGTACCCTTATGTTTGCTGCAGCATTATTTACAGTAGCTAAGACATGGAAATGATCTAAACGTCCGCTGATGGATGGATAAAGAAGATATGGTACGTAGACGCAATGGAATACTACTTAGCCATCAAAAAGAATGAAGTCTTACCATTTATGACAACATGGGTGGCCCTAAGGGCATGATATTAAGTGAAATAAATCAGAGAAAGACTACCACATGACTTCACTTATTTATAGAATCTAAAAAACAAAACCAAACCCAGACTTACAGATATAGAGAACAGATTGGTTGTTGTCAGAGAGGAGGGGGGTTGGGGTTGGGAGGGTGTGAAGTGGGTGAAGGGGATTATGCAGAATGTAGTCAGTAACATTATATTAATTTTGTAGGGTGACAGATGGCAACTAGCCTCACTGTAGTGACCATTTCGCAGTGCCTACAAATGTCAAATCACTGTGTTGTTCACCTGAAACTGATGTAATATTGCATGTCTGTTACACCTCGATAAAGAAAAAGAAAAAGAAAAATAGGAAAAAAAGAAAGACAGAAAGTTCATGTGGCCAGGGCAGAGTGCTGGGGTGCCAGGGAGAGAAGGGCCTAGGGTGGAGTGGGAGGGTTGGGCCATGTCCAATGACTCTGGCCTCTCAGGACATGGAGGAGGCACTTGATTTCATGGAAATGAAGAAGAAGGAAGCCATTTTATTTATTTATTTATTTATTTATTATTTTTTAAAAGATTTTATTTTATTACTTATTTGACAGAGAGAGAGATCACAAGTAGGCAGAGAGGCAGGCAGAGAGAGAGGGGGAAGCAGGGTCCCACTGAGTAGAGAGCCCGATGTGGGGCTTGATCCCAGGACCCTGAGATCATGATCTGAGCCAAAGGTAGAGGCTTAACCCACTGAGCCACCCAGACGCCCCTGAAGGAAGCCATTTTAACAAGGGCAGCGAATTCATGTTTCCCCAAGATCCCCCTGGCTGCTGCCTGGAAAAGAGACTGGATGCAGGGCTGTGGAAGAAGGAGGGGAATCAGTTAGGAGGTTTTTGCAGTGTTCCAGGCTAGAGATAATGGAGTCTTTTAACGGCATTCCTTCATCTTTTTTAACACAACCACAAACAATTGTTGTCATCACTGTAAAGACTGTTTAGAGTAACAGGGAGAAAAGTTATTTTAAAATGTGTTTATTTTCCAGATAATGTCCTTGGACAGGGAATGCAAATATGTTAGTGGGGGTTCAGCTGCATCTTAGTTGGACCTCTGCCCTTGACTCCTCTGCACAGGATGCCCCCTCTGCTTCCTGAGCCCTGAAGGCACGCTTTGTTTGTTAGGAACTCTTGGCTCCTCCCTGGTTATGTAGAGAGGCTTTTGGGTGTCAGGGCCACATCGTCGCAGGAAATGCAAACACATTGGAATGGCCGCTGTCACATCAGAGGTCTGGGGCACAGACTAGGGGTTCTCAAGATGCAGGGAGACCAACAGGAAAGGGAGGGAGAAGTCCATTTACTTCTGGACATTGAGGCCATGTGGTGGGCAGTGCTGAGACTAGCTCAGTCGCCTTCACCAGGTTTCACTTCCAACCTGGGATTCAGGTTGCAGGTCAAAAATATCTGCATGACAAAAAATGAGGGTGGAGTCAGATTGTACGGGCCAGCCAGAGGCCATGACCTTTAAATTCGAGGTCGTTGGAACTCACCATGATTAAATGACTTCAAGACCCAGAAGTTGGCAAGACAGCTGTTTGAACAGCCACAACAGTCATAACAACAACACCTCATATTTATACCACATCTTTTCACTGAAGTCTGCCGAGTGTTCGACTTGTCATCCTCTTGCCTTCCACTTGTGTTCCCACCTAATGGTTCAGAAAGCCAAGATGCAGACAGCTTAGGAGGCCTGATGGGGACCTGGACCAACCTTTCCTCGCTGTGGGCCAGAGGGCGTGTCTCATAGACAGCACTACTTCTGTTAGATGGCTGCGGTGGGCCCAGAGACCCCGCGTGCTGTCAGCTGATGGCTTCCCAAGTAAGCCTAGTAGAGAAGCCGGAGGAATATTTACAAGACCTGTTTTGAGCTCTGTGTGAGGATTTGTAATCAGCAGTGCCCTGACACCTGTGACTGGGAGAGAACTCTGATGAGAAGGCCATGGAAGAAGGTCTCTGGAAACTCACCCTTGGGCTTCCTACTTGGAGGACAGCCTGGAGGCATTGTCTGGGAGGCCAATGGAACAGTGATGATGATTCCATGTGTCAGTAAAGTGTGTGCTGCCTCTAAGCCTTTTCATAGTTTGTGCCATTGTCATGCCATCACAGGGGTGGATGCTGATGCTGTTATCCTGTATAATATGGTGCCTGCCCTCCTTTCTAGACTCTTCTTATGCCAATCTCTCCTGAATCACTGAGCTCTAGTCACCCTGGCCTCTTTCTGCAACATGGATAAGCCATGTTCCTTTTCCTGCCTCAGGGAGCTTGCTCATGCTGTTCCTTCTGCCTGGAACACTTTTCCTTTCTCCCTGCCCTTGGTCTCCATTCCCAAGGCTAGTCTCTGCTCATCCTACATATCTTAACTCACTTAGGTCACTTCCTCAGGTAAGCCTTTCCTGACCCTCAGATTAGGTAAAATTCCCTCTAATAGCCTCTCGTAGCAGCTTGTACTTGCCTGTCATTGTGTTTATGGCAGTTGTAACTATATGTTGTGGATGTTGTTTAAATCTGTCCTCCCTTCACTATACTGTAGAATCCTTTTAGGTCACCAACTGTAGTTATTCTGTGGCTTGTCTAGCACAGTGCCTGCCATATAATCAGCACTAAACAAGGGTTTGTTGATCAAATGAATAAATGAATTCCTATTTTATAATTGGGGAAACTGAGGCATGAAGAGGTGATGACTCACTCAAGGTTGCACAGTGAGTCCATAAAGAGGTTTCTAGGGCTCATGACATGGAGTCCAGTGAGCTCCATGCCCCTTCTCCTTATCCCACTTTCAGTCTGGGGAGCTGGGTCCTCTGCCACTATTTTTCATCCTGCCCTTAAACCTAAAGACACACTTACCTGCCCTCCCCTCCCTACAAAGGGAGTGAAGTGTTCAGGTTCCTACAGGAAGGGTCTACATAATATACCTTCAATCTTCAGACACATAGCTGAGAAACGACCAGGAGACTCTGAGCTGATGAACCTGACTTTGCTTTGGCCATGGCTTCACTGTATGACCTTGGGCAATTAAAACTGTTTTTAGCCTCAGTTTATTCACCTGTAAAATGGAAATTGGATTCTCTGCTGCTGTGTGAATCACAGATCTGTTGGAGAGAGATAATTAAATTCATGAACTTTAAGCTTCATTACAAGTAATGTGCTGTAATGAAAATCCATTTTTCTTAAAAAAAAAAACAAACAAATGATGGGTGAATAAGAACAACACATTAATGTCAAATTCTGGTCAGATGAACAGGAAGTTACTTGTTTTCATCAAATAGGGCAGGGTCCCAGAATGGCAGAGAAAGGAGGAATGTATTTTCTTATTTAGGAACAAAAGGAACATTACATTAAAAAAGTAAGTTTTGAAAAACATCTTGGGTCCACGTAGAAAAGTGCCCCTACCAGAGTATACTCTTTTTAGAAAATGCTTTTTGGGTAAAAAGAGTTGAAAAAAGTCAGTGTTCTGGGAGGACCAGGCTGGAAGGGGCCCAGGGGTTTGAGACAGTTGTTATGGCCAAGAGCTTGGACTCTGGGCGGCCTTTTGGAGGCCCTGCTCCTCCAGCAATGGCAGCATCTTCACCTTGTTGGAGCACAGTAACAAAACAGACCTCCTGCCCCTGCCTCAAATTACCCTCTGATGGCTTCCTCCTTTGCATTTTATTTCTCAACCCCTCTGTTCATTTTCTTGTCATTTCAGAGGGTTTTGGAAAATGACGAAAATGTAGAAGAAGGAAATGAAGAAGAAGATTTAGAAGAGGATATCCCCAAGCGCAAGAACAGGACCAGAGGACGGGTAAGCTGGGGACAACATGAGGGAGGGAAGAGTTAAGGGAGGCGGAAGCCCGGAGAACAGTTTGTTCCCAGACCCAAAGTCCCAGTGCATATCCTCTCATATCCATGGTCTCCCTTGAGGAAGACACTGAGAGGAGGAACTCCGGAAGAGCTCTGACCCCAGGTGATAGCCTGTAAGAGTTTAGAGCTGGCCAGAGGGAGAAGAGGAGAGAGAGGGTGTCCTGAGGGGACAGTGAGGGTCCTGGGAGGGCTGGGGTGGGGGTCCGGGGAGGGTGGAGGAAGGGGAGAATGTGACTGCTGTACCCATGACTTGGTCTTAAAAGAAGGCTGCATTTTCCTGTCCCTGGGGCTGCCCCAGAATCACCTGCTTTGGGGTGTTCTTCACTAGGTGGAGAGTAGGATCACTCTGGGAGAGCGTGGCGGCCTCGGCTAACGGTTTCCAAGTGGGTGGGGGATGGGCTTTTGGTGTGGGGCCCCGGATGTGGCAAGAGGAGGCCAGAAGCCTGGGGTGTGGCTGAGGGGAAATCCGTGGTGGAAGGTATACAACTTATGGGAGCGGTGCTTGAGGGGAGGGACCGAAGGCTGAGCAGTGGTGCTCTCAGGCATGTGGGTTGCTCCTCCAGGGTCCTCGTGTTCAAGCCCAAGGGGCTTTTGGTGGTCACCCTCAGGGGTCTGCAAGGGCATTTGACAATGAATAATAATGAGGTGGAGACAGACCTCCAGGGGTAAACTTGCTTGCTGTCTAGAGAGTTAGGATTAGGCCTTCTGGCCCCTTTAGGCTGTAGGTAGGACCCTTAACCCTCTTATCCATGGGTGCCCTGCGGGTTGGGGTCCAAGGCTAATCACGGTCTGCTTCCCAATTCTTCTGCTTCTTGGGCTTCAGTATCCATCAGAGTCACCAGGAGAGCCTATCAAAATGCAGATTCCCAGGACCCACTCCCAGAAGTCCTGATTTAGGAGGTTGAGGTTAGGGTTCAGAAAGCTGTATTATAAGCAGATTCCCAGGTGGCTGGTGTAAGCAGCGGTCCAGTGCTGCCCACGTGGAGCTCGGCTGCTCTGGCTTGTTGGCAGGGGCTGGCATTTCTCAGGCCGGGCAGGGCAGCCCTCTGATGTTGGATGCCTTCTCTAGTGGCCAAGCAGCTTCAGCCATGATCTTGTTTTATTTGTTCTTTACTCCCACTTTTTGTTGGTACGTATATCCGATTTTTGGGAGAATATCTGAAAGCAAGTCCTAGACATTTTATCATTTAACCTGCACATACCTTAATGTATTTCTCTAACAAATATCGCTATTATACCCAATAAAAACAACGACACTTCTAATATCTATGCTCTAGTCCCTGATGATTTCCCTGGATTTTCTCAAAAATACCTTTTTACAGTTGGCTTGTTTGAAACTTAAGCCTTTTTTATTCGAGACATACCTCTTCCCTGCTCTACCCCCCCCATGCACACACATATATTTTTCTCCATGCTATTTATTTGTTGAAGAAGTTGGGTGGTTTTTCTTGCAGAATTCCCCACATTCTATATTTGTGGATGGGTGGTATTTAATGTATCCTCTTCACTTTCTGGAAACTTGATTAGGCTCAGACTATTTGAATATGGGTGTAAATTCTTTTGTGGGGGGGGCAAGGACCCTTCTGTGCCTCTTACTGTATCATGTATCACATCACGAGGTATGTGTTGTCCAGCTGTTCTGCTCTCAGGGCTGGGGTGGGGGTGGGAAATGGATCAGTGGATTCAGGTGTTGTCAGCCGGATCTCACCCTAGAAGGTTCCCCATCAAGTTCTCATCTAGCTGTTTCAGCAACCAATGATAATGCCTAGATTCATGACTTCATTGCAGGCCACAAAGTAGTGAATATCTAATTCCATCATTAGAGGAGGTTTTAGAATCTCTGGACCTTGTGTGAACTCCAAGAGCTGTGTACCACCAGGCCTGCTTCCATCCCGTCCCTCAGCCCAAACCACAGTTACTAGGGTAGATTGTGGACAGTGGTCCTTTTCACATCTTCTCCACTCCCATCCTAGATCTAGATTATTGATCTCGGCAGAGCATGGATGTGAGCTGGGTGTCTCCCCTGTAAGAAAACAGCAGTGGTACTCGCTCAGTGTGCTTCCTAGCCACCAGGCCATGTGCTGGGGCTCTTTACAACAAGAGCTACACATCGAGGGTGATGACTAGGACTTTGTCCTGCATTCTCGATTTCTCCCCTGTTCCTCATAAGGACATGTGGTGACTGAGCACTTAAAATATTGCCAGTTCAAATTACAATGTGCTGTAAAGGTAAAATACACACCAGATTTCAAACACTTAGTATGAGAAGAATGCAAAGCAGCTCATTAATATTTTTTATATTGATTATATATTGAAATGATAATAGTTTGAATACATTGGGTTGAATAGATGATATTATTAACATCCATTGTACCTGTTTCTCTTTTTACTCTTTTTAAAAAAGTATGGCTACTAGAAAATTTAAAATGATGTGTGTGGTTCACATTATGTCTCTATTGGCCAGCACTTCTTGTTTCATTCCCAGATTCTGGGATTATTACTCCCAGACAGATTATGGAATTTGCTCAAGGTCATCTAACCTAGTAAAGAAGAAGTCAGGATTCGAACACAGGTCTGTGCTTTTGTCATGGAGTCATGCCTGGCCCAGTGCCCATCATGGGACTAAAGACCAGCTTGTCAAATGAATGACTGAGTGTTAGGAAAGAAAGAAAAGTTCTGTTTCAACTTTCTGGGAGCAGAGAGAAGGCCTGAGCACAGTGAGGGAGCTGGATGGGGCTTCGCCTAGCTCAGGGCCCATCTGATGTTGGCCAAGAGCCAGCCAAATGGCTCGATGTTGGGTAGGGACACTATGCTCATGTCATCCATGGTGGGAGCCATGGGATGACCTAGAAGGACGTAAGCAGGCCTGCTTGGGCTGGAATACAGGTGTGAGGCTGCTTCACCCATAGCCTCAGTTAAGCTACGCTTTTAAGTGGTATATTCAGGCAGCGGCTGGTTGCCGGAGAGCGTTTCTGTTGTCAGGACTGATAGGTGGAACCTCAATGTGTGGTCCCTGGACTTTGACCTCAGGACCACTTGGGGGGTTATCAGACACACAGGACCCTGGACTCCACCCGAGATGGACCAAATTAGAGCCTGCACTTTGACAAGACCCCTAGGTGCTTTGTGCACTCATTGAGGAAGTCAGGGGTGAGGTAGTGATTCCAAGAACAGCCTCTGCCCTGTTTGAACCATGTGTTCAAATCCCAGCTCCACTATTTACTAGACTTTGGGTGAATTATGTAACCTCATCATCTTGATCAAATTATAGCAATACTCTGGGCCTCAGTTTTTCATCAGGAAAACGGGAGTACTAATACCCAGCCAATTCTGAGTGCTTAATAAAGTCTAGACATTGCTCGGAGGGTGCAAAGGGAACAACACTTGGAGTTCTGATGATCAGACCCAACAATAATTGCATCTTTGCTAACTTTAGCCCAAGGAATCCAAGCTCTTTAAAATTCATGAAATCCCTGGAAGTCATCCATGTGAGCATTATCAATCAATCAATCAATCAATCAGGAACTGTTTATTGATGCGCTGTGGTGCAGTCCCGTGCTTCTCAAACTAATGTGCATGAGAAGCTCATGGTGATCTTGTTAAAGTGCAAATTCAGACGCAGTGGGTCTGGGGGTGTGGGGGGCACTGAGAGTTTGTCTGGTTAACAAGCTCCCAGGTGATGCCCGCACTGTTGGTCTGAGGGCCACATTTTAAATAGCAAGGATGTGGGGGCACCTGGGTGGCTCAGTCTGTTGAGTGTCTGCCTTCGGCTCAGGTCATGATCCCAGGGTCCTGGGATGGAGCCCTCCATCCAGCTCCCTGCTCGGCAGGGAATCTGTTCCCCTCACCTCCCCATTCATGCTCTCTCTCTCTCTCTCTCTCAAATAAATAAATAAAATATTTTAAAAACCCCACAAATAAATAAATAGCAAGGATAGGGAGCTATGGTTCTTTTTGTTTGTTTTGTTTTGTTTTGTTTTTGTCTCAGGAATTCTTTACTTAAAAATTACTGAGAGCCCCCCTGAAAGCTATTGTTCTGGTGGGTTATAGCTAGTGATATTTACTGTATTAGAAATTCAAGCAGAAGAAATGTTAATCTTCAGAATACACCAGCGCACAGAGCGAGGACATCATCATGTCAGGGAGCCTCTGGAAAATGCCATGGTGCACTTGTGAGAGAACGAGAGTGTAAAGTTTCAAGGAACATTCTCGGACTATTCAGTGCTGTGATGCAGACCCTCTTATGAGCCATTACTTGAGAACAGCTCCCATAGAGGAACTAGCTCCCTGAGCCCGAGTCAAGAGTCTTTTAATTGCAAGAAACTCCACACTTCAGCAAAAACGGGGAGTTTTTGAAAAGCGGCTGGGTTATTGCTCCAAATATGTACAATTTTTGAAGTTTCAACTCTCAGGAAGGGCAAGAAAATGGCAGGGACTTAGGACAGGGAAAGAACCTAGGCCGTTTGTGGCCCCTGCTTCTTTCTTCTTTATTTTTCTGTCAGAAGACTGTGTTTCCTGCTTCTCTGTGTCCTTAGCTCCATATCTCCTGCATTGACGGGCTCCCAGTTCATGAACCTGTGTTCACCACAGTCATTGCCCCAACGCCAGGTGCTTGGAGGTGGAATCTGATTGGCCCAGCTTAGGTCATGTGACCACTTTTGAGCCAGCCAATCAACTGAGGCCAGTGGGGCTGGGCCACGTGGTACAATCAAGGCTGTCTTAATCAAGGCTTACCAGTGTGTGAATGGGAGGTGGGGTGGGGAGGAGTGGAGTGGGATGGACAATTCTCAGAGAGGGAGGACTGGTTTCTTTTGGACAGTCAGCCTCAAAGTTTTACAGAATAGAGTCTGGAAACCTAGGCTGTGCTCCTTCTACTGACTCTGTGACTATGGATGAGTCACAAACCTTGGGATGGACTACTGACTCTGTGACTATGGATGGGAGTAGTGTTACTTTCTGTAACTCATGGTGTACGGTAGGAATGAACTGACCTAATACATGTAAGAGAGCTTGGGATGCTATGTGCCCAACACTGATCTAAGTGTTGGGTGTTCATACCAAAGTGTGAAATGCCATCTTTGCTCTTAAGGACCTTGGGATTAAATTGAGGAGAAAATGCGAATGGCCATGATACAATTAGAAAACAGCAGGCTTCTGCCTGTGCACTAACCAAATGCAATAAAAATTCAGAGGAGAGAGAAGGGATCAGTTTGGGCAAGAAGGGGACGTAATTTATCAAGCACTTCCTGTGGATGTGGCTCTGTCCCCTGTGGTTTCACACACTCTTAGCGCCAACCCTCTCAGCAACTCTGCACTAAAGGTGTTGCTGTGCCCATTTTACAGCTGAGAAAATGAAAATCTAGAGCAGTAACTTGTTTACAGACACATGCCTGGTGATTAAACCCATGCCTGTTTGACTTTAAAGCTGATGTTCTTTTTACTCCTTAGTCTGGCGGGAGGAAAGTTCTCGGAGGAGTGGGATGTTATTGGGGCTAAACCATGGAGAACTGTGGGTGGTAGAGCAGAGGCTGGTCAGTGGCAGGGATCATGTATGAGCACGAGGGGAACCTGATGAGATTGGCACTAGGTTGCTGTTGGGTGTGTCAGTGGGTGTTAGATGGCAATGAATGAATGAATGAGTGACCCTAACTCATCTGGGAGTCCCAGGGTGGACTGGGAAGGGCAGTGCAGAGGTAGAACCCCAGCTGGTGGGTTCTTTGAGCCGTTCAGGGTCAGTGGGTGCGCTCCTGGATTAAAATGTGGAACAGAAGGGAAATGCAAAGTCTAAGATGGCGTTTGAAGGAAGAAACAACAGCATTTTGATATAAAGAATGAAGGAGAACCAAAGATGGCCGACTCGCTGACTGACTGACGGACCAACTGATTCAGCCCAGGCTTATTAAAAGTGTCTTAAGTGGCAGGCCCCGTGCCAGGTTTTGAATATAGTGCGGCCCAAGTAGATGTTTTCCAGCCCTTATTGGGGAGACAGAAGATCAACAAGTACAGCAACAACATGTATAATATAATGTCAAACCACGCCAAGTGTCGGGACAAAACATACAGCTGGGCAGGGGAAAGAGAATGATGGAGAGGCTATGAATGGATCTAGGTTGGTCAGGGAGGGCTTCTCGGGGGAGGTGACATCTGAGCAAACTAGAGGGAGTCTGAGTTTCCAAGTTTGAGCGATTCCCTTGCGTGTGCCCATTTTGCAGTTGAGGAAACCAAGGTGCAGGGAGAGTGTGGAAGCCACGGCGCTGGTCTGTCCTGCGGGGTGAGATCCAGCCCTGGCTCTCAGCGGGGCCCTCCCCCTTCCGCAGGCGGCTCCCCCACGAGTGCCCGCTTCCCCTCCTCTCGGCCCAGGCGGTATTTTTAGTCTCAGAGCCCCCTCCCCGCGCCTGCTGTCGGCTTGTCCTTCTGCTTGACTTGCTTTCACCTGTGGCAGGCGGCTGTGACAGGGCTGCGGGCTGCGCACGTCAAGCTGTCCCTGGCTTCACCATGGGGGCGTGGGGGGGGGCAGCTGAGTGTGACCACCCTCCCTGTCGTCGTGGTCGTTGTCGTCGTCCCGGTGGTGGGCAGGCGGGGCGGCCTGTCTGTGCACCCCCCCCCCCCCGCACCCCCCCCCAGCCCCCCCCCGGGGACCGCAGCACCTCACAGCTCCCCCTGCAGGTCAACTCTGAGTAATGAGGGCTGGGGTGGGGGCGGGGGGGGGTGCTGCTGGGGGCTGCGGGCTTGGGTGGGGGCTGGGGAGGCAGAGAGGCAAAGCGGTGGGAGGGAGGGAAGCAGGGAGGTGGAATTTCGTAATTTGTTTTGGAGAGAGATGCGCTGAGGAGGTGGCGGAGGTGGTAGCTTGGCAGGTGGTGTTGACTGTGAAGAGTGTGTGTTTGTGAGAGCGTGTGAACATCGCAGGCCTGGGGTACAGGCCTCTCTGCTGTGAAATCCCCCGCAAGTGAGTGAGTGAGTGAGTGTGTGTGTGTGTGTGTGTGTGTGTGTGTGCATCCCAGGCCTTTTGGCCTTGAGGTCCCCAGGGCCACTTGTCCAGGCCCAGCCCCTGGGACTGCCCCATTTCCCCAGCACCCCAGGTGGCTGCCATGTTTTATTTCTCATCTGCTTCGGGCCCCTTCTCTGTCCCCAAAGCCCTCAGCAGGCCCTTTCCCTGGTTGGGAGTTTACTGCTACTCATTACCAGAGAATGACCTGGAGGCGGCCAGGGTGCTACCCACGTGACTGTGTGGGACTTACAAAGGTTTAAAAATAAACCTTGCCGTGTTCTTGCAGCCGCTGTCCCGGGGCTGCCGTGCTGCCAGCACCCTCTCTGGCTGCTCTCCTCCACCCTTGGAGGTGGAACACTTCCCACCCCCACTCCAGGCTGGGCCGGCTCTTTCTGGAGTCCGGCCCCAGGAGACTGTGAGGTGTCAAGGCCTTTGTTACTGGCCAGAGGTCTGAGGCAGGTCACACCGGGAGGCCTCAGCTGACGCTCACCCCCAGGAGGAGCAGGGGAGAGGGGTGAGGAGAGCTCACCGCCATGCCCGGGCTGGATTCCAGGCCTGGCTGGCCCCTGAGAGACTTGAAGAGGACTGTGTGAGCCTGGGGCGAGAGCCCGGGGTGATGACTGCAGTCACACTCCCTGCTCCAGGCCGCCATCATCCGGTCAGCTGAGGGGAGCAGGGTGGGCATCTCCATGTGGGGCCCATGAAGCTAGAAGGCCACGCAGCTGGAGGAGGAGGTCCCTGTGGCAACCATAGAGAACAGGGATGGGGAAGATGAAGGCTTTGCAGTCAGACTGTTGTGAGTTTACGTCCTGGCTCTGCACTTCAGGGAGGAGGGACCCTGGGCGAGCTACTTAACCTGGGGTTGCCTCGGTCTCCCGATCTGTAAAATGGGGAGAAAAGTAGTACCTCTCTTGGAGTTGTGAGAGTTTCATGGAATGACGTGGGTGAGTAGCTGAGTGCTCTGGAGCAAGTTCCCTGACCTCTCTGGGCCTCAGTTTCCAGGCCTGTAGAATGGGGTTGGTATTGGTTCAAAGGCTGTGAGGAAGACCCGAGGAAGAGATGTAGGTGAAGTGCTCGGGGCCTCACAGAGTACGAGCTCAGGAGCCGTAGTGAGCATCACCATAACGGGCATCCCGGTTCCTTGTCTCCCCAGGCCCGGGGCTCGGCAGGTGGCCGGAGGAGGCACGATGCTGCCTCTCAGGAAGACCATGACAAACCTTACGTCTGTGACAGTAAGTATGGCCCAGGCCACCTTCCTGACCCTGCCTCTGCCCCCGGTACCCCCTTCCCTGCGCTTCCCTGGCTGTCGCACCCTCAGCCTCAGCCTCGCTGGCTTCCCCTCTTGGGCCTGCCCCCCAGCTCGCACGCCTGCCACCAGGGCACCATTTCTTGTTGCCGCTGCCAAGGCTTCGCCCACCTGGGTGTTTGTGTGTGAGGGAGAAGCCAGCCAGGGGTGCCGGCCTCCTGTCTCTGGCAGCTCTTCCTCCGTGGCTTTTTTCTGGTGAGCGCTCTCTCTCTCTCTCTCTCTCTCTCTCTCTCTCTCAGATTCATCCTCTGTTTCTTTCTCTGTTTCAGAGAGTTCCAAACAAAAGCATAACTCAAACTTCTCCGACAAAGGTACTTGGCTCCTTTGGCTTTTCATGTTTCCCTTTCATTTCCTTCTCTCTCTCCTGTCCCAGGTAGGGCAAGTTATGAATCTTCCTCGGGCAACGACTTAGCTTAATAAACAGCCCACGGTCCACCTCCGGCCTTTCTTCCTTGCTTCAGAGGCACCTCTTGGGCAAGGACTGGGTGGTCTTGGTTTAGGGGGTGCAGACGGAGCTACGGCAGGGAGCAGGAGTTGACCCTTCCGCTCTGAGGGATTGCTGTCAGCTGGAACACTGTTGTCTTTCTCACCTACCGGAGCGTTGGGTGGTGGGTTTAAAATCCTTGCCCTAGATATCTCTCACTGTATGGGGCGCCATCTGCTCCTTCCACAGCAGGGACTGCCCTAGAAACCACACTCCCTGACCATCTTCCCTTCGTGTCTTTTCCGCTCCGAGGACGCAGAGCTGGGCCACGGGGGAAGGGCAGCGAGGTGGCTCAGGCAGGGCTGTGGCTCAGTGGTTCCTTCCGCCGGCATCTGGCGGTGTCCGCATTCGCTGTGGAAGCAGAGGGCGAATGGGGGAGATGGGGCTCAGGGAGCACATCGGGGGTGGTGCTCCTTCCCTCCCTCTTCACTGGCCTCTTTTGATTTCAAAAAGTTGTTCTGTGCCTGGTGGGGTGACAGCTGGTTGGAGAACATTTTGCTAGAAGAACTCAAACTCCATGACCCCCATTTGGCTGCTTAATACACCGTACCGATGGCACTCACGAGACAACTCTTGCAGGTAACATCTCCGTCCCACAGCGGTTTTGTTCCAGAACCAGGAGGAGGCAGGGCATGGGGGCTGGTGTCTCTTGGCAAAGTCAAGAGGTCCCTGTTTTGGCCTGGGTCTTGCCTCCCGGAAGGGCCTCTGTTTTGTTCGGCTGCACCAAAGCCCTAGCACGTGAGCCCTCTGGGGACTGGTTCCAGGCTGGGAAGGGTCCTTCTGACTCCGGCAGAGCAGACTTTCCAGCTGTGTTTGGCTGGAGCCGCCCAGCCCCCCAAGAATGCCAACAGCTGCTTTGGGACTGGGGCACTGCCATTCAATTTCTCTTTTAAATAGCTTCATTTTTGTGATCTGATTTTCTGCTCCCATAGCTAGTGGGATTACGTTTTTGCTCCATCTCTTCAGTTTTCATGGGACTTGCAGCCCATAATCCCATAAATTTCCAGACACCCCTGACAACGCCCTTCTTCACCCACCTCTCAGTTCCTCTCTTCACTCCTTTTTCAGCCGTCCTCCTCCTCGCCTGTTACCTCCATGGAGCACCCTCTGTGGGTGTCCCTCTCTTGCCTGGCCCCCCTCTTTCTGCACCGAGTGCTTATGTCCTGTCCTTCCCCCAACCCTTGTCACTGTGATTAGGAGCTCCCAGGGCCATTCGCTCTTTTTCTGTCCCCTTCCCTGCAGTCTCTTCCTCCTTCTGTTTACCCCGTGATGCTCCGGAGGACTATACAAAGGCCTGATGTTGGCTTTCTGGAAGTCTCAGTGGCTGATTCCTTGGCTCTGCCCATGCAGCCGCTGCATCCCTTCTCCTCCCTCGGGGACCACGGTCTACCATAGATTGCCCTTCTCTCTCCTGGCTCTCTTAGGGAATTGTGTGGCAGCTTGGTGATTAATAGACTTTATTTTTATCTGGTGCCCTTCAGACACATGATCCTTTGGGATAGGGATGACCTTTGGAGAGGTCATGAGGCCCACCCTCCACCCCTGAACTGAACAAGGAATGCTTTTAATAATCTCTAATGGATCCTAAGTAGAGATGTGTTCGGTCACCTCCTTGAGTGTCCCCAGGGATGGTGTTACCATAAACTACCCTTTCTTTCATGATTCCAACTGTGCTCTGAATGATTGTTTTCCCTTAATAGGAGCTAAATTTTCCATTTTAGCAGATTTTGTCTTTTGCCCCCTTATCTTTTACACATCTTTCCCCCCAAAATAGGCACATTGAGTATTTTGTCTATTCTGGGGGTGCTTTTCACGTCCCCTTGTATTCTTGGTTTATTATCTAGGGCCACATCCCATAACCTCTGTGATGGCCTGCTCTAAATTCCCTTCCAGGTTTACATTTAAGTTCGGCACTCCCACTGGAAGTAACACCAAGGCCAAGTAGCTCCGAGAGTAACAGACACACTTCCCTGTTTATTTTACCCATCGGCTCTTAATAACAGCCGGTATGTGTAGAGAACTGAAGTACTTGGTACCCCCATTGCCCTGTGCACCATGCCCACGACCTCCCATGCCGGGCCTGTCCTGACCCCATGCCTCGCCAGGTGCGTGCTCTTTTCTACTTCATGCATTTGATTTTTCTTTCTTCCATAAATCACTCTGCATTTAGCCCTATTGAGTCTCAATAAAGAGATACAATAATATGTGACTTCAATATACGAGATTCAATAAAGGCAAATTTAAAGACATTGCCCCGTAGTTGAATTTCATCCTCTGCAGATTTGCAATCCCTGCCATTGTTGTGTTGTCTATGGTTTGATTTGCATAATCCCCACTCCATCTCCGGAGTTATTTATGAGAATATTAGGCCACCTTGTACCCTGCCACCTCTTCCTGGGTTTATATGTGGAGTAGTAATAGCTATCTTTCAGGTGTGATTATGTTTAACCCTTCTTGGTTTGTATTCCTAAATGTAGTTGTCCTATTATGTTCTTGGTCCAAGCATCCCTTTCAGGATGGGTGGTTGAAATATTATCTTAGCTGCTAACTTCAGGTGATAGATAGTTTGCCTGTTGCCTTTCACTCAGCCATCGAATTTATTCCATCTCAGAGAAATACTAAATCATCTGAACATAATTTATTTTTTTACCCAGTCTGTGGTGTGTGTGTACATGAATACTTCATTTTCCAGCAAGTAACCAATCCCTGTTAATTATCCTTAATGTTTACCAAGCTTTAGGAGTAAAATTCTGGTTCTTCTGTTTCAATCTCTTGCCAAAGAAAAGTGTTTCTTATCCACAGAGCAACCGAGTATGACTTTGTGGGGAAGGCTGTCGGTGTTTGTCAAAATGTGGACCTGGGCCGTCTGCACAGAGAGAACCGAGATGCTTATTAAAATGTGATTTCTAGGCCTCATACCGGACCTTCTGCATCAGAACCATGGGGAGCAGGCTCAGGAACCTGCATTTTTTGCGAGCTCCTCAGGGGAATTCCTTCTGAATTTTCAGAGTGACTGGTCTACTTCATTCAAATTCGAAGGCTTCTAGCCTTTTTATTGTTCCCTGCTTTTAGCATCCGGAAGTTCTAGAGTCTTCAGGAATTCTCCAAGCCAATAGGCCATAGGCTTGCTGCACTGTTTTAGTTGGTCTCTTTAGAAATTTTCCTTTCCCGTTTTTTTCCCAGCATTGATCTAAAACTCAGCAGTCCCATATAAAGCTCAGCAATCCAGCACTTGGCCTTAATTTACTTAATAACTTTAAATCCTAACAGTATCATTAGCCCCCTTTTAGAGGTGGGATGATAACTGGAGACAGACATACGAAAGCAATCCTTGGGTTGGGCTACTGGGATGTTTTAAAAATCATTCTAAATGTTTATCTCTTCTCTCTCCAACCGCTCCCAGCCCTGAATTTTCTATTAGCATCACTGGGACTGACTCTGGATGAGACCCACTTTGCCATTGTCTTTGTTCAAGTAGCATCATAGGAGAGAGGATGGTGGTGGGGTGGGGGGATGATTTTCAGATGGGAGAAAGGGAGAACATTGTGTCTCTAAGCAGCAGCCATGTAGAGTGGAGCAAAGCCCCCATTTACCCCTTTCCCTGGGCACAATGGAAGTGAGTCATGGAGGTTTTTTGTTTTTTTTTTTTTCTTTCCCAGTTTTTTTCTTTTTCCTTCCTTTTTTTTTTTTTTTTTTTTTTAAGATTTTAAAAATTTAATTGAGAGAGTGAGAGAGCGCAAGCAGCGGGGAGGGCCAGAGGGAGAGGGTGAAACAAGCTCTCCGCGGAGCAGGGCTCCATCCCGGGTCCCCAGGATCATGACCTGAGCCGAAGGCAGACACTTAACTGGCGGAGCCATCCAGCTGCCCATTTCCAGTTTTTTCTTTAAAAATTAAAAAAAAAATAACTTTAAGTTTATTTTACTGTAGAAAGAATACTTAACACCTACCTTCTTAATACATTTTTAGTGTACGATAGATATTGCTGAATACAGGCACGGTGCTGGGCAAAAGATCTGTAGGGCTTATTCGTCTTCCTCGACGGGAACCTTCTGCCCATTGCTTAGTGATTTCCTAACCCCCTTCTCCGCCACCCTCCGGCAACCGCCCCTGCCCCCTCGGATGCTACGAGGTTGGCTACTCATGTAAGTAGAGTCACGCAGTATTGGCTTTGCTGGGACTGGCTTATTTCACTCAGCACAACGTCCTCGAGATCCATTCATGCTGTTGCATATTGAAGGATTCCTTCTTTTTAAAAGATGGGGAATATTCCGTTGTATGGATCTACCACATTTTTGTCATTGTCCATCTGTTAATGGACAGTTAGGTTGTTTCCACATCTTGGCTACTGCGAAGAGTGCTGCCGTGAACCTGGGAGTGCTAATATTTCTTTGAGATCCTGATTTCCGTTCTTTTGGACAAATACCCAGAAGTGGGATTGCTGG